TAATATTTTTTTATAAATATATAAAATAAATAAATTATATTTTCATAAGTTAAAATTAATTTTCACACATATCAAATTTAATAAAAGTAAAAAAAAAGTTATTTTTTTTATAAATTAAAATCAATTTTATATGCATCAAAAGTTAGAACAGTTAAAAAAAATTTCTTCAAAATATAATAAATAAATTAAATTTAAGTTATATTTATGAAGTGTTTTATTATATATTAGTAGGATGAAAGATACTCCATGCCTTAGAGAGAATACAATTTTTCTTAATATAATAAATAAGCAAAAAGTGGTATAATTTTTTTAAGGTAGTTAACTAAAGAATAAAATTGGAAAATAAATGTTGGGTACTAAAAAGTGCTATTCTTTTTATTATTAGTATAGATAAAAAAGATACGCCTCTAAAAAAGAAAATGAGTTACAATCTTAAAAAGTACTAAATTTTATATCAAATATTATACATTAAATAATAAAAACTACAATTTGAATATTGAGAAATATAAAGACATAAAAAATTTAATATATATATATATATATATATATATATATATATCAAAAACAATTGCTTATGTTGTATAAAAAAAATTCATCTAAAGAAAAAATTATACAATGTTAATAGATTAGACTATTAAAAATTATTCTTTTCCTAAATATAATGATGTCTCATACTTTTATGAGAATGTAAAGTAGATATATGTTCATTTATTGCAACATAACATTTTCATCACTAGTTCATAAATTTGAAGTAGTTAAAGTTTATCCATATTTGACTACAATATTTATTAGTATGGTAAATTCTTAACAATTTATTTCAATACTTATTGAAATGTATTTTCTCAATTTTTCAAGCAAAGTGTGTTGTAGCAAACATCATTGTGCTGATAAAAACACAGGAAAACACAATGATAAAAGAATTAGAGAGTGAAAAAGAATGTGTATTGTAAATCATCAAAGGTATAGTAACAGGTATAATAACTCAATTTTTTTTATAATCATTAGATACTCAGAAACTTTGAAATTAAAGTTAATGGATATTATGAATAGCTAGTAATTATTTTAACTATTTAATCAAAAAGAAACTATTGTAAGGGTTAATTACTTATAAACAATGAATCTATTGGTACTAATATGATTTGATACTAATCAAAAAGAATCTATTGTAAGGGTTAATTACTTAGAACAATACTGTTATTTTGTATGCTTACAAGATAGAATCCTAAAAACACACTCAAAGTTAACCTAATAAATATATGGTTTTTAAAATTTAGTCATGTATAAACAACAAAACTTTTTCCACTTAAAGAATAATGTCATCACTTTTTGCCTCTTTGATCTTTGCAAGTGTAAGTATAATGACAATTGCACCATCATTGTGTTTGTATAAAAAAATTAATAAATTTGGATGCATACCTTTCCCATAAAGCACAACCAAGTGTTTTTCCACTATAATATTATTGAATAAAAATGTTTAGTAGCATCACACATAATATTAAGGAAAAACTTAAAACAAAAAAAATGATAAACACCATTCTTAGGTGTTGCATCAAGTTGGTAGTGCACAATTTCATTAAATTTTTCAATCTTATCTATATACAGGAACAAAAATATTGTAGTTGTAACTCACTAAGTGACAAAATGATGAGATAATAAATTTGTGATTACTTACTAATACATCAATACAGGTCTTATCACTCAGTATATCATCAAAGTTCGTGAAATGATATCAATGTTAAAGAACTTCTGAAAGATCGTCCTATTTGATAGTTGCCCCTTTCAAGAAAATCAATTTGAATGGATGGGGACAACTCCTAAATTGTCCATCATTACATAAGACCTCAAAGTTCTAGAAAATATAGCTATTAGCCTCCTTTAGAATCATCTTCCATTTTCCCACTTCATTGTTCTTTATAGCAACATGTATTTTATCTTCCTAAGTCATTGACATATATAAAAAATAAGTACAAAGATATTTAGGAGAAATAATGAGGGATAAGTAAAATAATAATACCTTTACATCCATGAAGATAATTTCCAAGACAACTGATCTATAAGGTTTTTTCACATATCAAATACATGTTATTCTAATAACAAACTTTCAAGTCTCTTTTTTGTCCTTTATGTCCTCAATCATATTGAAGATTATTACCGATAATTATTTAGTGACAATAAATTAATTGTATTTATTTCATTATTTAATAAAAATATTAATGACTAATATATAATGACCACTAAAAATGTATTTATACCACATCAAAACTTACTCCCGCCTTATTAAGAAGCTTGGACTTCCAAGCCGCAAGTCTACTCTGGATCTTATCCATCACGTCATAGAAATCTGCGCACCTCGGCTGACCCTGAGTCATGGGAACCCCCAAGTACTTCCCGATCCGAGTTGTGTGCCCAATCCCTAGCAATCCCTCCAATGTATCAATCCTCCTCTGAGAAACCCTTCTAGAGCTCACGAACTGGGACTTAGTCAAATTGACTTTCAAGCCTGATGAACGCGAGAACTCCTCCAAGATTGACGCCACCAACTGAGCCTGGCCCTCTGAAGCTTGACAGAACAGTAAAATATCATCAGCAAAGAAAAGGTGTGAAAGTGGTAACCCCCCAGGGGAAAGCTGAATCGGTTTTCACTGACCCTCCTGGAGCATCTCCGATATCCGAAGGGCGAGCCGCTCCATGCAGAAAACAAACAGGTACGGAGATAGTGGGTCACCCTGCCGAAGGCCACGAGACAGAGCAAAGGAAGGTAAGGCGCTTCCATTCCAAAGGAGTGAAATTGTCGAATTCTTCAACCCCCACATGATGAGTTGGATAGTGACTGGGGGAAACCCAAACTGCACCAGCGTAGACTCCAAGAAATCCCACCTGACCCTGTCATATGCCTTTTCAAGGTCAATCTTTAATGCCAATGACCCCACACCTGAGCCGTCCTTCCGTACGAAATGAAAGGCTTCTTAAGCAATAATACTATGGTCCTGAGTCCCCCTCCCAGGGATAAAGCTGCCCTGGAAAAGACCAATGACATCCTGCAAAAAGGGTCTAAGACGAGCCACCAGCACTTTAGAAATAACCTTCCAGGCCACATTACATAAGCTAATAGGACGAAATTCTTTAAGACTAACCGGATGGTCCACCTTCGGAATTAACACCATTTGAGTCTCCAATAGTGATACTTCCGAGAACCCGAGCCGAAAAGCATCTTTCACTGTACGTCATAGCTCATCACCCAAAATAGGCCAATATTGCTTGAAAAAGAACGGTTGAAACCCGTCCGGCCCTGGTGCCTTGTACGACTTCATACTCATCACCGCACGGCGAACCTCCTCCTTCGTGACTGGGGCAGTTAAGGCAGATTGGGCCTCAACTCCCAGGCCAGGTGGAACCCCAGTATGCATGACTAGGGATTCTTGGTCACTCTTGACCGAGAAAAGATCTGTATAGAACCGGACTGCCTCATTTTTCAATACCCCAGGGTCCGTGTTCCAAGACCCATCCGGTAGAAACAACCCCTGTATTTTGTTCCTCCTTCTCCTCGCAAGAGTTTGAGCATGGAAGAAGGACGTATTACGGTCCCCAAACCTCACCCACTTCTCTCTAGATTTCTGAAACCATAAAAACTCCTCCTGGAGACAAGTTTCGTCTAACTCCACTTGAATGGCCTTTTCTAAGCGCGACAGACTCTCTGACTCCCCTACCTCGAGCTGTAATTGAACCCCTCTGAGACGTCGTTGCAGAGCCTGCTTTCTATTAAAGATATTCCCGAACACCTCGTAATTAAACTTGATGGCATCCACACGAACAGCTTGTAAACCACTAGCCAGGGTCGGAGTGCTCCAGCACAACGCCTCCCTAACAACTCGCTCAAAATCTTTATGGGTGGCCCATGCAGCTTGGAACCGAAAGGGTCGATCATGAGAATTATCCCTTGAGCCTTCCCGCCGCAGTAGGAGAGGGCAATGATCAGAATAGACCCTACACAGATTCTCAACATATGCTTCCGGAAATATTGCTTGCCATGCAACATTACACACCGCACGGTCCAGCCGCTTAGCCAGCACAACCCCACGTTGGTTACGATACCACGTGAAACGGAGACCCTTGGCCCCATGTCAAGAAGATTACAATCATTCAAAACCTCCAGAAACTGTGAAGCCCTTGCTATCGAGAAGCGCCCGCCCCTACACTCCGTTGACAACATAATTTCATTGAAGTCCCCAAGCACTAGCCATGGCAACGTAATCCGACCTCCCAGCTCCCGAAGATGAACCCAAACCTGTTGTCTGAGGTCCACCCGAGGATTAGCATATATAATATATAAATGGTTGATAACTCTCACCTTACAAGTTTGTTTTGTAGGGTTAAGTTAGACATATAACTTACTATTTTAAATTGATAAAATAATTAATTAGGAGATAAGACAATTAAAAAATTGTATGATAAATTTAATTGTAATAATGTGTGAGAGAAAGCAAGAGATTAAAAGAAAAAAATACTTTTTTTTATTATTAATTAAAGTTAATAAAAATTATAGAAGTTTGGCACTAAGACGAGCCTTATAGATTATTAATATCTGGTGTGCTTACACATTTGCTATCTATATCTATACAATCTTTGTGTCTTGTATTTGAAAATTACTCATTTTAATCTTTACAGTTAAAAATTATTCATTTTAGTTTTCAAATAAATTAAAAAAACATGTGTAATTAGAAAGTATATATAAGAATTAAAGCAATGAATTCTAGGAGTAAGAATTAAAACATAAAGACCATATGAATAGTAATTAAATTTTTATAAGTTTCGATTAATAAAAATGGTTAAAAACATATTATAGAAAAAATGTAGTATAGTCACTTCTTTACTGTGTGAATCCAGGTCTCAGTCTCACGCGCTTCGTTCTGCGGATCGTAGAGACGGCGTCGTTTTGAGGGTCGTCACATAGCACGCGCCTACATTACACAATGGTTAATAAAACTGATGAAGAAGCATGGAATTGGAATGTGACCGAAATGAGAAATGAAAAATGAAAATGAAAATGAAAGAGAAATGAAATGAGCATTAGCAATAGGGCAATTCCAACACCATAGCAACCTAAGCTGGTTCCAAAGATTTGGCCAAACCAAACCAGCACTACACTCCTCCGCCACACTAAGGTACTCCCAATTTCTCACCCTCTCTTACTTTCCATTTTTTTTAATTATTATTATTTTCCAATTTCCCTAAATTGTTCACATTTTTCTCCCACCAGATGCGCGATTCGGTGGTGATCAACAAGAAATAATTTCCCACAATTCGCTGTTCCAATCAAAACGAAAGGGAGAAAGAAATAGGGTTTGATTGATGGGGTGTGAGTGTGGGGGGAAGTTGAATGTGAGAAGGCCTCATTTTTATGAGGTTTTTTCTTCTGCCTTTAGCTCTCACAGACTGGTAACTCTTCAGTTTCTTCTCTCTTTCTCTCTATTGTTTTTGTAAACCTAACTGCATGTTCCCAAACTCATATTCTTGTCACTGCTTTTACAACTTATGCTGCCCATTTCCTTGTTAAGATACATTTCAATGCATTATGATTATGATTAATGGGCCTGTCTGCAACAATAACAAGCTGAACTGTGTTTTTCATGGCAAAAGTTTATGTTTTTCTTCAGTGAAAAATTCTGGGAAACTAAAAGTCCTAAACTTTTTCCCCTCAAAGGCACCATTTGTAATCAATTGTCTAGAAATTCCTTAAAAAACATGTGATGAAAAGCGGAGAGAGTAATGTAGTTTTTTAGATTCTTAATTACATTATCCTACTCAAGTTCTAGTTTTGCTGTATCTAAAAGAGGGTGTTGTAGACGAATGATGTCGGTTCATCTTCATCATATAATAAAATGCTTGTTGGGGTTTTTATGTTTGGAATTGAATTCTATTGATGCAGAAAATTCCTAATGGATTCGTCTGTCGCATGGAGGGAAGGACATATGGATCAGTTTCGTTAACTGGTCCTAGTGGAAACACATGGGTAGTGCAATTGATTAAGCAGGACAATGATTTATTTTTCCATCATGGATGGTCAGCATTTGTGGCGGATCATCGACTAGAATGTGGTGACCTTTTGGTTTTCAGATATGAGGGTCAATTGCATTTTACTGTGCAAGTATTTGATAATGATGCATGTGAGAAAGAAGCGGCATTTCATTCTGAATGCAGTCAAAATTCATGTGACTTTGATAATATTAGAGGACAGAAAAGAGATACACAGGAGAATGCTTCTTTGGATATTGTTGGTGAAAGTGCCTCTAAGAAAATGAGAGGTAGCACTAATGAGAACCAGGAAATTGAGCTGGGTATTGTTGTTAAAGAACTACCCCGGTATGACGTAGTAAGACCAATTAGTATGTTCCGAGAAAATGATGAAACCTCCAAAGGGTGGTCCGCAAATGATGAACCTGTGCCTTTTCACATGGAAAATAGCAATGAAGGTACAATTAAGCTGATCAAATTCTGGTTCTCACAAAAATGATTTATTTAAAATTGATCTAATTGGTGTCTGTCTAGAAAAACATTTTGCATTCAGATTATTATTTATGCTACACCTTACACTTATTTAATGCTTGATCCTTGAAGTTTTGTATGTCAAAATGCCAGCCAGTGTATAGTATATTGACAAAATCATGAACTCATGGTTGCTTGAATTGTTCAATGCAATGCAGATGCTTCCACCATGTATAGAAGTGGAAAGGAAGACGATCATTATGTTCTCAGTGGAGTTTCATTATCAAATGTATCAGCACATGATGAGAAAAAAGTTGCTCAGTCATTTACTTCCTCTTTTCCGTATTTTGTTAGAATCATGAAAAGCTTCAATGTCAGTGGTTCATATACTCTGGTGGGTTATTCCCTTTTATGGTTTGTATTTTAATTTCTAAATGATGTCGCTTTATGTCTCAGAACTTACTGTTAAGTCACTTGTGTGATTCTCCATTTGCATGATACACACACACATGAGGAGGGATCCACTTCATTTAATTACTTATGTTCAACATCAAATTTCAATGATCTAAATGTTAAATTAAAAGTTTTTAATGCATTGATTAAGTATAAAAATGTTAAATTTTTTTATAAATTATTTGATACTTCATTTCATTAATTTAAATTGACGGATAATTATGATTTGAATTTATATAACAAAGTATCATATGGTTTTCAAATTTTTTAAAAATTTATAGCCTTGATCTATATATTAAAAACTTTCAATTTAATGGTTAGATCATTGAAATTTGATCTAAAACATAAGTTATTGGATGAAGTAAATCTACCAAGAATTACTCTTGAAGTAAGTGGATCCCGGTCTATATATATATTATCTTTTACCTTGATAGTACTTCTTCTTTCATATACTGAGGGTGAAAAGCATTTCTGATGCACACATTACTGTTAAAATACACTCCCAATGAAAATTTCATCCATACAAGTCTTAATCATTAGTAGATTGGAAGTTTAGAACTATTCTTGTCCTTGCACTTAAATGCATGTTGGAGTGATGTTTCTATACTAAGTAAAATGCTGCTTGACAAACTCAATAAGTGATCTACCCAAGCAAGCTTCGGTGTTAGACTAAGTTTGAGACTCTTTACTGCCATGACATTTAGAAATTTACTTCTGGGCTATTACAATATTGTGTCTCTCTCAAAAGTATTGATTTTATTTTGTTATCAATGTGATAATTCTTTGACTATCCTTCAAGTTTCATATTTCCTATTTCTTAGCATTTAAAGTATTTTTTTTTCTTAACTTTGCATATTTCGCTAAAATAAGTTTATCTTTCAAATTGCTTAGAGCATTTAAAGGCTTTTTTTTATTATTCACTGTGCTTTCCATTAACCTTGAGGAAATGATTTTTTATAAGGCTTTTTGTATTTTATTCACAAATACATGCAGAACTTTCTTGCTGATGCTAATTTGCAAATGGTGTAATGCAGAATATCCCATATCAGTTTTCAATGGCACATCTTCCCAATTGCAAGATAAAAGTTATTCTTCATAATTTGAAAGGAGAACATTGGACTGTTAATTCTGTGCCAACAACTAGAGTGCATACTAGTCACACTCTTTGTGGAGGATGGATGGCTTTTGTTCGTGGTAATAACATAAAGGTTGGAGATATCTGCATTTTTGAACTTGTGCATGAGTGTGAATTACGTGTTCACATTGCTGGAGTTGGAAAAGATGGGTTAGATTGCCAAGTTGGAAAAGTAGATATTAGTAGGTTTAGTGCAGGACATGCTGTAACTTCCAGATATATGGCAACAAATCCTAAAGTTACCCCAAAATGCATAAGAAAAGTTGATCTATCGGAAAAGAAGTGGTCAAAGATTGGTCAAGAAACTGTTTTATCTGTTGACATGAAGAAATCTGTTAGAGCTTCAAATACTTCTAAGAAAATGGGGCTTTCGAAAGCTGCCCATAAAAAGTTGGGTAAGGTTTTCCTCCTTTCTCCCAATATGTAATTCACTCAACTCTTTTCTATGTAAATGTATAACTTAAGTTTTTGCTACAAATTGCTATGAAATTCTTTCATTTCCAGAAAAAGGAAAACAATATTATTCAATTCCTTGAAAATTGGAATTTTGTTATGTTGCTAGTGAAAGAAAAACAAAAAGGATGAATTTTGAATGCTTTCCTTCTTTTAATGTTTCTAGTTTCTACCTTCCAAATCGTGACTTTAGTTTTGAACTGTAAACAATAACAGCTGTTCAGAGGAGACATCGTGTAGAAGATGAACTAAGCTCCCAGGCCAAAGCTGGTTTGAGAATGTTGTTTGCACTCGACGAACAAAGAGTAGCTCAAGCTTTTACTTCCCCTTTTCCTAGTTTTGTAAAAATCATGAAAAAGTTCAATGTCAGTGGATCATACACTTTGGTGAGTAATGCACAAGCACAACCATTTAGTGTTGACATTTACATTTCATTTATAGATATATATTTGATATCTATGCTAAGTTATTGAATGCATGTTACATTGTAGAAAATCCCATACCAGTTCTCAGCTGCACATCTCCCAACTTACAAAACTGAAGTTATGCTTCGTAATTCAAGAGGCGAATGTTGGACCGTGAACTCTGTCCCAGATGCAAAAGGCAGAACGGTTCACACCTTTTGTGGGGGATGGATGGCATTTGTTCGTGATAATGATATCAATTTTGGAGACACGTGCATTTTTGAACTTGTTGCTCAATGTGAGATGCAGGTTTACATATCTGGGGTTGGAAAGGAAGGCCTTGACCATCAGGTAGCTAAAACTTAACAGATTAGATAGCGTTCCGTCTACTTGCTAACGATGTTTGAGAATCATTTTTCAATGAAGATGTCTATTGAGAGAATCCAAGTCTACTTGCTAACGATGTTTGAGAATCATTTTTCAATGAAGATGTCTATTGAGAGAATCCAAAAATGCATTTTATGTACATATTTCAGTAATTTCATACTCTCTTGTCATATATGTAACATCTCACTGTTCACATCCCAATTTCTCATCTCACCCAGTAAGATCCTTGAATATATTGCTTATGTCTTTTGCTTTTATTTCTTATCAATGTGATTGTCTATCGTGGCTATTGAGAACAAATCAAATCAGACGGTTTTTATTTATTTCTTATTCTAAATGCGGTCAGTAGGCTCATGGAACATTTGTCTCGTACAAGCAAACGAGGATTGCCCTTCATTATTGACTTTATGAAACTATTGCTTAATCATATCCTGTATTGATTAAGGGGTCAGGATTTATGATTCCTTGCCCGTGTGTTATCGTAACAGACGATAAACAACTATGAGCATTCAACAGTTCCAGCTTATATGGTTTTCTAAAGATACTAGTTAGATACTCGTGACTTAGTAGTAGTGGTCGAGTTGAGTTGTGTTGTGTTCTCTGGACTGACTTCGTTTTTTTATATTTATTTTCGATTATTGATGCATTATTTATATTTAAATAATTATCCTCCTTTCCCTATAATAATTAGATGGTGTACCCATGTCAAAAAAATAATAATAATAATAAAATTAAAATAAATAAATAAGGATGCTGGCCCGTCCTGTCTAAGGACGGGCTCGCGGTTGACGGGCCATGTGAGACCCTGCTTCCTTTTTCTCTTTTTCCTATCCCCGAACCCTCAACTCTCACTCTCTTATGCTCTTGCTCTCAATTCTCCTCTTCTCACTCTTGAACTGTGGTTTTGGTGGCTGAAGGTACTGATTGAAGGTTTGAAATTCTTGTTAAACCCGTGCGGAGCTCCTCCCATCTTCTTCTCCAATCCCTCTTCTCCTCCGTTCTTCGTTTTCTACTTCCCGGAGCTCGAAATCTTCACCCGAGGTAAGGGAAGCTGGTTATTTCCGTTGCATTTGGCTGTGTATGAGTCCAGAACTCATTTGTTGGTTAG